TATATATATATATATATATATATATATATATATATATATATATATATATATATATATATATATATATATATATATATATATATATATATATATATATATATATATATATATATATATATATATATATATATATATATATATATATATATATATATATATATATATATATATATATATATATATATATATATATATATATATATATATATATATATATATATATATATATATATATCGTATATATTAGAAAAACTCGTGCCGGCAGAATTGACTACACGGCCCTGAGGAGTTGCGCATGGTACGCATGTTGACAATTGCACACGCTGCGCGTTATGTTTGTCAAGTCACACGGAATAAAACCTAGTTGTGGTGGGGAACGATCGATAAATACGAAGCCGCGACGTCGTACCGTCAAGTAAGCATTCCGCTGCATTATCTGAGAGTTCGAGTCTCGACAAGTGAAGCGACAAGACAAAGCCGATCAAAATGCCGGGACCAGGATGCGACAAGTGCAAGGGTGAGTGTGCTCATAAATTCTTAATGGACATTAATAGATAATTTGACATGACATGACATTTCCTCTCAATTGTCACTGATAATGTATAAAGAAATTTCGCTGATATAGATAATGAAAAATAAGTAGCAAAAACGATCTTTTTTTTTATGGAAATATGTAATTATCGATTTTTAATTATCGTTAATTCGACAATTGTCAACTATTACGCAATTTTTGAAATTTATACACGATTTTTAAATATCTTCTCGAATTATACAACGTCTAATTTCGCATGACATCGTATAAATATTTATACAATACTTAAATTTATTATAGACAAATGCAAGGATTGTAAATGCAGTGACAACTGCTCGTGCTGCGACTCCGGATGCAAAGGTAATATTAGAAATTAGTTCAGTCGTTTGCTTGATTGCACAATTCACTATTAGCTCATTTTTGTATATATATACACTCGAACATTGGTAAATATATTGGTGTCTATCTCCATCGGTAATACAATTTATTACTTGCTCATCGGTAAATCTACTTTTATTTACCTTCAATCGTTAATTACAATTATGGTATCTAACTTATCGGTATCTAATCTATCGCGATGTTAGCGTCCTAAGGGAGGACGCCTCGGTCTATGAAAACGCATATTTTAATATATGCACTCTTGAATCGATTGATTCGCGATCAAATATTAATTCGAGAATTCTTTTATAAAATATCTATATTTTAAATACTTCAAATAATAAAAAGAAAATGAAAATAATCATATTTCTTTGATCGTACTTTACGGTTTTATATATATAATAGAAAGAAATATAATTACAATATTAATAATATATAATGTATATATAAATAATAATTTTATTTTTTTTGTATTTTAATATCCGATGTTTACTATTCTTTTCTATATTTCCGCTATTTAATTGGAATGTTCAAGATGATATGAAACGCTTGTCAAAGCGCGATCATTATAACGCGATGATATTAAATCGTCGCGAACAAATTAAATGAGCAATTAGTCACGCGAATATAATGAATCATGAATAAAGTGGAATAAATGCTTTGAACAATATCTGTAATCTATTATTAAAATGTTAGTTTATGCTTAATTAAACATAAAAAAATAATTATGTAATGCAATTTTTTTTTGTATTTCTATAAGCCTTAGATGAGCAAATAATAAATTAATAAAATTTATAGATAATAATTTGATAATTAAAGCAAGATATCTTTAATGTTAAAATTTTTGAAAAAAAGATATGACAATTATTTTAATAGGAAATATTGTGTTAATAAAATATATTTATCTTGTACTGTACTTTTTACCATGTTTTACACCCTATATATGAGATTTTATTTTATATATTACAATTCGATTTCTGTGCAAATAATTCTTATAAATTTTTGCACGTATCGAAAAATAATATAACTGTTTTTGAAAAATCAAATTTAATGTTGATTGTGGATTTATTTCGGATTATCTACTGTTTGTTGTGTAATGCAATGATTATTATTATTCTTTATTACCTGTCAAATGTTATAACAGGCTATACGAAGCATAACAGATCAATTAATAATTTAATCTTTACATATAAACTGTTGGGTTACGCGGCATTGTATATATTTTGGATTATTGCCCAATAGCACGGATCAAATAATTTTTGTTGCAATATAAATACGCATCACATTACTTTATACAAAAAGTCCTGTATTATATATATATATATTGATAATATTAAAAATCAAATCAGTAACAATGGTGATTATATCAATATATAATGGGAATATTAATATCTTTTGTGTATTAAACAATAGAAAATGAAATTTTATAAAA